AAGTGGGAGAACTTGCACAATTGGTGGCTGACTAAATACTTTTTTGCCCCACTGTAGGTTTGGTAGTGAATCAGGCTCAGATGTGCGTGGAGGGGTACCTTTTTACTACCATAGGCAACACAGTGCAAAAGAGAGGGAGGGAGGATGATCATTGGCAAAACCATGGTTTGCGGAAGCTAGCATAACATCCATACTGAACTATTCAAAGAAAGGGAAGAAATCTAATCTGACAAATTAATCAGTGTATTAAAATTGTGTTTTATGAATGAGTACAAGCATTATTTTTCCTTCAGTTAAATATGGATGGATGGATGGATGGATGGATGGATGGATAAGGGTATCTATTCTAGCTAAGGAATAACCCAGCTTTTAAACACTCCAACACTGACATCTCAACTTACCTAAAGACTTGTTATGCTCATTCCAACAGAATGAAGTAAGAGAAAACAGGATTTGCATCGTTCCCTGACCACCCACAGCTCCAGGGCAGATGTATGTGTCAGTGTTGGAGGAACATTGGATTTTATGGATCACAGGCATATTTACAGTACTTCCTGACCCATTCTTCTGATGTCTCATTTGGGAATTCTCAAATTAGAAAAGATGGGTTTTCGAAGCTCCAAGAGAAGGACAGTTTCCAAAGTGAGAAACTCAGGTCAGAATTCACTCTTCAGCCTTGGTGAGAAAATTCTGAAAATCCCAAGTTCTGGGTTGCCTATCTGCAGCCTTATCCATGCTCAGAATAGATACAGTGGAACTTAGGGACAGACATGACTAACTAGCTCTACTAGTTTTAACGGGCTTGCTCTAAGCATGACTAAATCTGGCGTCAACCAAGCACTTTATAAAGAGTTGAATTTCTTCTTTCACTTCTGCCATTTTCCAGGAGTTTTGTTCAAAATCCCTAACTAAACCAGGACCTAATTATCCTGTTGCTGTGATCTGATATATTACTGTTCATATGAAACTGAACTTTAAAAGCTAAAATTCTTGCTCTAGAAGTTAGCCACACAAGGAAAAGAATGTACCGGTCTACTGGAGCTGCTTACCTACAATGTTTATTGTACTGTCGACTTCAGTTTTTATTGTGGAAGATAAGCAGTAATTAGAAAATTCTGGACTTGTTCCATTACTTAGTTGATAAGAACACTCCTGTGGTTCTTGCTAGAAAGAAAACAAAAGAAGGATGATACACTGATAGGCAAGCAGAAATACATTTCACCCCGATTAATCCTCAGTTAAACCTATCCCTCACCATTCCTTCAGCATTCCGCAGGACAGCGTGGCCAAGTTGAAGCAGACTAGTGTCTCACGCTGTCCAATCTCACAACTGAAACACCAGCCTTGCCCATCCTTATTCATAAAAATGGTCTGCATTCAGAAAAGCAATGTGCAGAGTTGATTTAGAGGCCTTCTAAGAAATATGCTTTGCATTGATAAATTAACCTAGGTGTCACTACCTCCAACAACTCTTCTTATTAAATATTTATCACAGCCTTTCAAATACACTCAACTTGTACCAACTAAGAATGCACGAACCTAGCAAATTTCTACTTCCTGCAAAATCAAGCCTGTAAACTTAATTAAGCTTTCCTGGGCATTAACCTCAGTGGAAAAACACCTGGGTTTTGCACCCACAAAATGTGATTTGGTAATAGTACATGTTCTTTGTTCACAAAACTCTTCCAATCCCAGGGAGTGAGAAATGCAATGTGGACAAGGAAATCCTTTTTCTTAATCCATTTCTGCTTGTATGTTTGGCAGTCCAAGTCAATGCAGACCATTTCTGTATTTGGTTTCATGGCCTTGGTTTAGTTCTTCTGTTCCATATTCAGAGGGTGAAGAAAAGAAATAGAACTAAATCCTTCCTTCATTTGTGATTCTCATCAAGAGGTTTCTCTAATTTCTAGTTGGTGGTAGAGAAGGCTGTGTGTATAAACTATGACTCCATGAGAATGCAGAAAAAGTGCAAAAGTGCTCTGGTCCCCAAGTTAGACTCCCTAATAATATTTTCATAATAGAAATAATTGCTCTGTTAACTAAAAGTATAATTGTTAATAACAGAAATAACCACTATATTGAATAACTTGCCCTTCTGGTACTTATGCCCTAGTCCATACAACTATGAACCGCAATGAAAGTCTGCCCAGCAGCAAAAGTGCAGTATAATAAAAACAGAGATAGATGCAACAGGAAAACAGAAGCTGTGATTAATTTGGGTCTTTCTGATAAAACAAACGTCTGCTGCCTGAAGAGGAAGCTTCTTGCCTCCTCATATGGCAAAATTCTGTATGACAGTTTCTGTTCCTGAAGCCTGCAAACATATCCTTGCAACTGTGTAGGTCATGCCTGTTGACATTTGAAAGCGCAGTAAGGTAACTGTGGTATATGTGCTGGATAGAGGAAGAAAAAGGTCTGTGCCCTGTGTAATTCCTTGTGAAGAATACATCACGAGAATTAACCTTTCAAAGGCAAAGCCAATTATATAACACTCGAGAAATCCCTGATAACCAGCAGCTACCACTTAGTGACCTCCTAGAGAGATTTCAGTACTACACGTACTGTCCTTTGTGCCATAAAATAACCTGGGACAGCAGAACAGATGGACAGGCGAATGCAGGACTGCCACCTATCACAGAGCTATTTGCCATGAGTTCAGTAACTAGAAATCTGGATAACCAAGAAAAATGTCAAACTCTTTCATGAGCCAGCAGAATGCTGTCAATCTTATCCAATGGTTAGAAACATATTTTGATAGGGTGCAACTTCATGGATAGCTATTTGCGCCATCTCCTGTCTCGCCTACTTATATTACTAGCACCGTGCACTGTGTCTTGCAATAGATCACCTATCATTACATTACCTTAAAATCAAAAAATAAAACCAGAATCAAATTATACCTAACGCTGCTACACTTTGGTTTTCATTTCAATAACCATGGATGTAAGGAAGGAAGAATCCTTATTGGAAATGCAGTAAGAAAGAAATTATATTTGTTCCAGTCACATAGGGAAGATATGAGCCTCCTCTCCCATAGACCATGCCTCTGAAAAGGATCAATCCTCACCTCTAATTACTTAAAATAAAAACCATTTCATTAAGCATATTCTGCAGCTGGGCCATGTATTATGTTTGAAGGACATTTGTTGAAGAAAACTGCTGTGAGGTCCTTCTGTTAAAAAGTGTTAATAAACTACAATAAGTTCTCAGAATGTTTTGGAAGTTTCTGTATCAATCTACAAATGACAGCTTCTTTAGCCATGAAATGATAACCAAAAAACAAAAACAACCCCCCCCTCCCCCAAATACCTTAATTTGTTTCATTTTATCTTCCTTGTCAGACTTGGGTTTCTTTCCTGTAGAAATATAAGAAAAGGTGTTTACACTCATTTCCTGATCAAAACTAGTCAACTTTGCTTAAGCCCACTATGCTTTTTTTTTTATTTTACAAATAAAAGAAATTCACCTGAATTTAATATAACAATCAGATCAGTAATACCTGAAAATACAATCCATTTAAATCATACTGAAAATAAGGGAAGATATACAAGCAGAACTTTAAACACTTTATTCTCCAAGTTCCCCCATGTGAATGAGGAATAAAATTCCTCTCTAAATTAGGAATACAATGGGTGCTATTATTCTTTTTCTTCTCAGTTGCTTGAGACTGTCTTCCAAAATACTAAGATACTATACTTTTCTAACTTCCATGTGCCAGAGCAAGAAAAACAAATAAGTTAAATATTTCTGCAAGATCTGGTGAGACTCTGGCATCCTCATGTGAAATTTCCATTTTTAATTATTCATGTCAGGGAGGTAAACAGTGTACCTTTGGTGGTATCATGGTTTTGATCCTTCTGCTTTTCTCTGACACTAACTCATATCATTGATGTACTGGAAGTGGGTGAATGCCAGGCTCCTTATCATCATTGTACAATATTTTCTATTCTGACTAGCAATGGAAGACTTTTCCCCATTTCCTGGAAAGGGGTAATTTTTTTCAATGGCAGTGCCAGGAATTAACCCAGGACCGTCATATGCTGGACCGTGAGCAACTCTCCTTTTCTTCCTTGGTTATTGGTTGGAACAACAGGAAAAAAAAATCAAGTTTGACATCACATGGAATGCTAGATGGAAACAATGATGAAGCAAGGACCATTTGCACTCATCTGTACAGCTGTAGGGAAAAGGTTCCTGTTTCAGCATGGAAATGAGGATTTTAAACAATTATTTTTATTTTTATTCTTCTTAGGTGGTTGCATTCACCTAGCAGATGTGCCTGTGACAAAAGAAAGACTGCCTGCCCATTTATCCACATGCACCTAATCTGTCTTTTCCCAGGCTTCACCATCCTGGTTTCCTAATGTGTTGGGGATGAAAGCTTTATTTGTTCTGATCAAGTGGGAATTCTGTGAACCGGAGTCTCAGTATATCAGGAAAGCTGCTTAAAAAGCTGCTAGGTCTCTGATGTCCACCAAGTCACTAACCATCACAGTCCTTTCATTTACCTTTTTTAGAAGGCCTCTCAGATAACGGCAGCATCCGATAGACTCTGAAAGCATTGTTCCCTTTCTTGATGCTTTTGTCTTTAACTTCTTCTATGTCTGGCAAGGAGTTCATCGCACATCGAAAATTGGCCTTCCATGTCTTTGGATCTGCTTTATCAACTCCTGGCTGGTACTTTCCTAAGCAAAGAGGGAAGAAAAAGTTCTTGGTAACCAGACTTTATCTTATGTTGCAACACCAGTTTAATATCAGTGATTAATTTGACAGGGAGGAAGGAAATGCAGTGCAAACAAAGGCCACAGAAAGACAGGAACTGCTATGGGTTTTTTCTTTGTTATTTTTATTTTAATTTAAAATACTTCTGTAATGCCTCCCATTAAAAAAATCTCAAAACAGTTTACAATCAAATGTTGAGGGACATTTTCTGATATAAGCCCATCACACTATGGGCTTAATCTGCCAAAACTATTCATACAGAAATCCAACTGAACATAAACTTTGAAGAAATGTAAGGGTTAACTTGGTTGTACACTGCCAAGAAGGGCTTATCATCAGCAGAAGATGTCCTGGGTCAAGCCTAAGTTGTTCCATCACCTGTGTCAGTGTTGTCCAAACTTGGCCACTTTAAGATGAGTGGACTTCAACTCCCAGCATGGCTGGCTGGGGAATTCTGGGAGTTGAAGTCCACTCATCTTAAAGTGGCAAAGTTTGGACAATACTGACCTATGTGGATGTGGTATCATCAATTGAAAATCAGTCACAAGGCAGACTCCCTGGAGCCCACTGAACTAGCTCCACCTCCTTATAGATGTGCTCCT